GCAGCAAGCTATATGTACAGTACCGAAGTAAACAGTTTAATGTGAGTAGCTATTGTATAAGAAGATTACTGTTTTTATCCTGTTCTCTCTCATTACAGTTGGATGGACTGATACAGACATTATCATCTGGAACACTCGGCATTGTATGGTTTATATTAGGTTTTGTCGATTGTTGTTGAGTTCCAATTTACTGTTACAGGCCTGTTTGCATATGGCGCAGCTTGATAACGATTTTGTTGATATATTGGAAAGCTTGATCGGCCAGCCAAATCTCCGGGATCCGAATACAATAGAACAGATATAGAACACTCCAGAAACAGTTTGTAACTCTTCGATTCCGCCCGAGAAATCTTCATAATTTAAATACTACTTTCAATGAGCTTTGGAATTTATGGCTTGCGGAATTAATAATCTTGCAATCAACGTAACTCGTCATGTGAGAGTTACCAATCATATTCCTTATTAACATGTATCTATCATCATCAGCTAGCATCTTAATTTGGATCTCATAATCAGAATCAGAATTTATCAAAATTAGTTTATTATATTTAACTGTAACGCTTCTTGGTCTTATGAGTAAATGTAAAATACTTTATATATATAGCAAATTCCAATATAATGTTAAATGCATTTTATTTTACATATCTGTGTATGTATCGTCTACTTGTTGGATCTTGTTTATTAATAGAACTTATTATACTGGTGTAGTTTCTGATTAGCATTTTGTTTTATTTTTCAAAAATGACATTAAATTTTGTTATTATTTTAAATAATATATAATTAGCATATATATTAATATTAATTATATAAATATTAAACATACAGACTAATATTAATTTAATAAGTATAACATAATTATTAAAAAACAGAAATAATATACTGTAGTATATACTAAACTGTAAGAGGTGATTACAAAATACAAGGTATCCCAACAATAAATTGAACAAAGGTTATTTTAATCGACTGATCGGTTAACTGACTATTGGATCATCTCGTATTTTTCATCCTTAATGCCAGTAGCATATTTAAATTTAATATAATTGTAATGGCGATATTAAGACAGTCAATATAATTAATGTACAGTACCATAAAGCAAAGAAAATATAACTTAGGTCTTTAGTAAAACTGGAAACAGGTCCGAGATATTTTAAATTAAATTTTAATTATATAAATCATAAAACGAGATTGAAAAATAGGAAAAAACAAGACAACTGACAATTAAAATGTCATATTTAAATATTTTTACGATAATAAAAATTTAGAAATCGTAAATTTTTTAAATAAAAGTACAGTACTAAAAATATCAGTGAAAAAAAGCCAAATCTGGAAAACTTTTGTTTTTTCTATTTACGTGAAATTGTTTGTAAGAATAGTCTGTTTTAAAAGAACATTTTAAGTATTATCCGACAGAACGCGAATATTGACTTAATGCTACACGTTAAACGTAAACAAACAGAAACGGAAGTAAAGTCGAGCAACCGCATATGTATGTGCTTAGACTATAAATCTTTCTTTCGCATTTTATGTAGCTCAAAAATAACTAAAATAAAAAAGTACAACGCGAAGTCACAAAGAACTAGACAAATTATTTTTATAATTTTGAACAATAACAACATAAATATCATTGTATTTCTTGGAGATCAAACATCTCATTACTGAAAAAGGATAGAACGAGGAAGAAACGACAGACTAATGAAAATTACGATAATAATTTCTTTCGTTTTAAGTTCTTTTAAAGATAAAATATCAATTTGGAAGGAAATAGAAAAATCATAAATACTCCCAAAGAAGGAAAAATCAGATTCAATGGATATCGATCGTAGATTTATCCAACTAACACTTCGATATCGATTCACATCTCGATTTTTTCATCGAAAATGTTTACCTAAAATATGGAATGTATCATAATTACACTATCCTACGACTCCATTTTCTTGCTAAAATTTAGCAGAAAGCATTTTTACTGTAGATATTTTTTTTAAATCATTCAACAAAACAGCAAATGAAAGCGTGGATGAATTTTATTTATCCATTTGTACGTTTGATATTGTAAGAATACGTTACACGCATACATAAATGAATATTTGATAAATTCGAAAACTTGTGGCATGTGATTTACGAAAGAAAATATTATCGAATCAAATAAATGCACTATTCTGTAAAGTCTAGAAAGCAGAGAAAATTTCATATTATTTATTAAGTATTATATTCATTCAACACCTTACTAAAATCTCTATAGCCTATATTACTGAAACACAAGAGAGTGATCATTTAAAGACAATATACAATGAATAGCGCACAAATTTAAAAGCAAAACTTAACATTTTCTACTATTTCATAAATTGTTTTTTATTACTGTAAGGAGATTTTCTTCACGAAGCGAACATTAAGATTTTAAGATCTTTCCTCGTTTGACAAACTCCTGCTCTTCATAGAAAAGAGTATCTCCAATCTCGATTTAGTACCATTTGTTCCCCTCTGAAATTGGCACTAAATCGAGTACGACGCTAGAGTATCTCAAACAATGATTATGTATAAGTAATGGGGTCTACATGTATGTTGAAAGTGATAGGGTGATAATGTCATTTGCAATGCAAAATCGTGTATCTAATGATTCCAGATACTGAAGGTTATCTATTTAATATTTATGAGAAAAATCCGTTTACGAGCATTAATTGGCGCTTTACGTAGGGCGATATATCGAAATTTGAGTGTTTTCATTTTATCAAATAAGATTTTATTCATGATTTATTGATAACATTCTTGACTTAGAAGATATTTAAGTACCGGGAATTGTATTAATGTTTTCTCTGGTACAATTGGAACAAAATCAAGTAGAGAAGGAAGGAGGAAAAAATTTCACACTGTAAATTTTTACTTTTCATTTTTATCGAAAGGTTAACGTTACGTTTTATTTTAATCGCAGAAAAAATCATTGTCCTTATCTTAATTGTTACATCTTTATATTCAATTCTGGTAATATAACACAGTAAAATAAATATTTTTTACAACAGTTTATACAGAATAATTTTTAATATTAGAATTGATAAAAATTAACTTCCCTACTAAGTCATTTTTCTATTTTTTGTGGCGTGTTTTGAAACTGCTTTTATAACATAAGGCTCTTCCAATTCATAACAAAATTAATCAAAATCTACATTTAATCACTTATTTTCAAATCGAAGATGAGTTAAATTACATTAAATTACGGAAAAAAGGGGAAAAATTATTATTGATGAAAAATACCTCGATTTTAAAAGTATTTAATTAATCGTCTCTCAAATTAAATTATAGTCGAACCTCGATGTAGCACCATCCTTATAAAGCGATAACGAAGAGTTTTAAACGAAACCTCCCTATAAATATTAAATAGATAAGTCTTCAGTATCTCTGAATGTATGATTTTGTATTGAAACCACATTGTAAATATCAAGTTACGTAATTTTCAAACTCTTAAACTGAAACTTTTGTATAGACTTCGTCACTGTATATAGCCTAATTCTTATTGTTTGAAGTACTTTAGTTTACTACCATACTCGATTTATTGACAATTTCAGAGGCAAAAGTAAGTAACCTTAAAGGAAAGTTTTTGAAAATTTTCATATAAAAATAGTACTATATTTATGTCTTTTCAATTTTACTATTTTTTTTTTATCAGGCTTTAATCAAATATTTCTTTTATATTTGAAAGCAAAATGCTTACACTCATAATAAGTTTGATGAAATCAGATGATATGAGAGGCCAGTTATGTCAAAAAATAAATAATATGTCATGAAGAACGTAAGAAAATTTTATACACAAATAGAGCAAAAACGTGTAAATCACAGGAGTATAAGTAAACATTCAGCAAAATTACAGGAAGTAAAGGTTGTTCTATGCGCACGCAATGGAGTAGAAATTGTAATTTTTAAACAATGCTTCTTTTTATCTCGCAAACGAGAACAAAACCAAATTTTACATACTCGCTTCCAAAATAACCTCAAGGCATCCAAGCAGGCTGTAACTGTTAGTTGCACAATATCATTCGTCACATCTATCATAACTTCCTTCACCTGCTGCTACCTACAACAAAAATATGTTTCTTCCGTATATAATCTGTTGCAGGTTTTTTCCCTCTTAATTTCGTTTTAGTTATACTTTAACGACTCCATAGCTTGACCTAAAGATGAGATAATTATTCCTTTTATTAAGAACGAACCGAATATAAGGATAAATTATCATAAAATACATTCGAAAATTTAATTTACAGTTAAATTTGCAACTAGGAACATAGAACATTTCGAAATTTCGATTATAAAAATTGTCCAAACATTACATAAACGTAGTCGACAGTACTCAGTTTTTTTGTCACTATTTTAATTATATAAATCATAAAACGAGATTGAAAAATAGGAAAAAACAAGACAACTGACAATTAAAATGTCATATTTAAATATTTTTACGATAATAAANATGTTATTATTAATAAACTGTGACGTCATCCATTAACGTCATAAATAAATCGGATTTTGCCGATCCAAGCAATAATCCCGACATCTGGTGGTGACAGATTGAATTAATCTGATAATGCTTTCTAATCCCTTTTTTTTTGTGTGTGTGTGTGTGTGTTTTTTTTTTCTAACACATGCCAAAACTAATTATGGATAAACTAACCTAATAAAAAAAAATTATTAAACACTTTTTAATAAATCCACTACGTCTCTTTTCCAAACTGAACTTTCGATTTAATTATTTTAAATTACACTCAAGGGACGTCCGTTATCGTTCCTTTGAGTATAAAAACGAAGTCCAGTCTATAATTTATGTCAAGACGAAAATTCTCGATTGTTTAGGAAAAACCGAGCGACACTACACAGTAAGGTGGTTGCGTGCCGAAATAAAATGCAAAGCTCAAAAGCGACATTCTTTTTTCCCCTTCCGAACCATTTAATTTAAAAAATCCATTATGTACACATTCTTCTGTAAATTTGTAACTTGCTCTGTAACATTTTTTAAACAGATTCATGCAGTCGACCCCTCGGTTTAACCACCGGAGACGGTGTTGTGTTAATGTCGAAAGCAGATGATTCCGATCCATCTTCGGGACGTCTAAACAACGAAGATGGGGCCTGGTGCTTCAATAATGCCACCGTCTCTGCAGAACTCGCAACTTTGGAGGTAGAATTCGATCAAGAAGTTTTCGTCAGTGGTGTAGCTAGTCAAGGTCCTCCTCTATCAGTGGCACCAGTTGATTATAATCACATACTAGGATTTGGATTATATCACAGTTTGGATGGTAAAAAATGGATAGGGGTTAATGGTGGAGTCTTGGTTAGTAGCTTTTTGTACTATAAAATTGCTTTTGAAATTAGTTTTGACGTTATTTTATTATAAATTTCAGTTCTTTACGCAAGATAAAAACAACACTTCCAGTGAAATTTCTTACCATCTCGGAAATTCGATCGAGTTAGCCAAATATATGCGGTTCGTCGTCTCCAGAATACTAATTGCTGGAGAGAAGCTATGTTTAAGATTCGAAGTTTATGGATGTTCCACAGGTTTGTGTATAGTAAAAGTATGGTAATTTTTAATTAGAAGTGGTCGTGAATAAAATGAATTTTACAAATTTTTAGAGGTAATACCCCAGAGCCATTTACAAGCTGAGATAATTCATTCGGGCCAGTTGTTCGTGACGTGGGAAATTCCCAAAGCCAGAGTCACTCTTGGTCAAGATGATGATTATTTACCATTCTCACCAACTACATATATTTTGAAGTATAAAAATGGAGAAAGTGAAGATGAGAAAACCACTTCATCGACAGAAACATACATTCAAAATCTTCGACTGGGTGATGATTACCAGTTAAACCTGTATTGTAATGTCAAGGGTACAAATATCGATTGTCGTTCTATCTCTTTAACAGCTTGTAAGTTTTTTTTTATTATTATTTAACGTCATTTCATATTAAAATATTGTCTAATTACTCCAAAATTTAATTTTAGATCCTCCTTGTGGCGAATGGGTATCCTACAAACGTCATTGTTATCTTCAGGTTCCGGAAAACGATTTCGACAGTATTTATAAAATTTGCAACGAAGAAACGAATAATCTGGGTTCATTTAGTACAGCGGATCAACTTCATGAACAGAAATACATAAATGAAGAACTGCTAGAGGACAGCAATACTTTTTGGTTGCTTGATTCCATTTGTAATTCTGTATCACCTGTCGGTAAGTTTTTAAAAATATTTTACGACTTTATTTGCTATTACGTGTTGTAGAAATAATAGTAACACTGAGAATACGTTGAAAGATAAACTTACAGATCACACAAAAACAAAAAATAAGTCGGGTAGTCAAGTCACGTGAAAGATTAAATGGCAGGATATACAGAAGGTTTGAGGATAATCGAATGTTCGCGCGAGTAATTTTTGATTTATGAGATTTCTTCATGACATTATATCGTTGGACAGTTGTATATTTAAAATATAGAAGGAAAAATTAACAACTTGCTACTTCTCTGTACACAAGAGATAAAATATTAATTTTTATTTTGCTGTCAGTTTTTTTTTTTATCTTCTACATTTCGAATAACCTTATCAAAGTCATCGACAAACGAAACATACACAAAAATACTAAGAATCAATAATTGTTAGCAATATCGAGTAGTAAACAAAAGTAAAAGCTTATCGAGCAGACACTCAAAGTATTCATTTCATAATAGATACAAAAATGTAATACACTGTTTTTGTATTTTTAATATAAAATGAATAATTACAAGAGTATCTTTGTTATTTGCTTTAAATATATGACGAGAAGCAATATTTTATTGGAAAAGGTATCCAATTTAGTAATTTTATACAAATTTGAAAGCTAAGAAAAGTCCTAACAGAACAATTTAAATGTTTAAAATGGTTTAACTTATTCTAATTATAGTTCTCAAATAATATATTTCACACGATCACGAGAAAAAATCTAATTAAATTACAATCACAATTTTGAAACGTCTTCTAGAAGTCCTACTTAAATTATCCCAAAAATTGCCAGCGTTTTCTCATTTAAGCTTTCCCTAATAAGGTAAGAGTAATTGAATTTTGTGATGTTTAAGAGAAAAAGTAATATGCTGAATATATAGCGTTTATTATTTTTTCCTTTCTTTCTTCTTCTTTTTCCATAGCCTTTTCGAACAAGTAGGCCTATAAGACAAGAATGGAAAAGGGAAAACTTTAATTTACAAATAATTATTCTTATATTTGTAAATTATCAACAGTGTTTACAGTAGTTACAAAATTTTCATTTTCCATACTTTCACAGGTACTGTACGTTCAAATATAAAATTGTCTGTCAGCGCTTTATACTTAGCTCACCGTGTAAGATACTACACTACACATACAGACTGTATATTAAGAGAAAAATGAATACTGGCTTTTAATTGTTGAAGCAAATTGCATTCAAGATTGTTGATGAAAGTACATTAGGAAAATTTCTAAAAACGTTCAATATAAAGAGCAATATAAAGACAATCGATTTGGAAAGTTTAATAGTAGTTGAATCTTATTGAATATTCTAAATATCTTAGAGTCGCGTAATTACCATACTTTTAAAATAAGTAGAAAATGTAACTATTCTTTCTTATTTATTCGGCAAATATCTATATTTAGAAAATAGTAATAAAGAACGAAAATATTCACTTTTAATCCTTCTTATAACCTGGTTTCTACAAAAATTCTTTAAGCTTATTAATATATTGAAATGATACTGGAAATTAGCTACAAGAAAAATAAATTGGCCGAACGATCGAGCCGAACAATCGAGAAAACAATCGAGCGATTTAACTGAATAATAACGATGTGACATATTGAATAAAGTTAAACACATTAATAGAAATTACTGGAAAAGCTACACACAGAAGATTGCTAGGAAAACAATGAGTAAAGTGAGTTTCTAAAATTTCATTTATAGGAATTGCTAGAAAAATTGTATTGATTGAAGCTGGTTAGAAATACAGAATAAAGAAAAGGCTGTTAAAAATTTATAACGACAAGCTGTTTATATTAATATATAGGTGTGTTTGGTGTATAAGTTCACAAGATTTAAAAAATATAATTGTAAGAGTTTCAATTTGAGAAATTAACAAGTTTAAAAGTTAAAAAGTTTGTATAAAGTATTATATTCCAAATAAAAAGCAACCCTTACGTTTAAAACGACACTTCGTCTTCGTAAACATTACTGATTTTTTAAAATTTTTCTCGGAATTGTGCCTAAAAGAGCAAATTTCGAATTAACTTTTCAATAAATAAATTTTCAAAAAATGATTATAATATTATATTGTATTTATTAATAAAATTATCATCACCACAAAATTTAAAATTTATTAAAATTATAAAACGATCAGAGAAAATTCCAATTGACAAGAAATAAAGAAAGAAAGAAAAAAAAATTCATTTAAGCACTGAAAAACTCGCTTAAAATACATTAACTAGTCGCACGGAATCGATTAAGTTGTTTTCTTACGCTAAATAACCTTCGCCATATTCGATAAAGTGTTTACAGCAGATACATTTTACACGGTTGGCAGGATAGAGAGCCGCATCAATCAATCATAAGGTAGCGGCAAATGGATGGAAATTTGCCATTTTTCAATGTCGCTAAGTCGCATCTACCAAATTTCTTGGATCGTTCGCAGCCCAATATTCTTTCCAGTTTTTAGTAATGGATCGATAATCGACACGTTTTAGTTTAACGCTTTACTGGATGTTTAAGATCGATGTGCGAGTGGTGAGTGTCAAAACTAGAATGCCTCGCCTGTTGATCTTTCTACCAATCGATTTACTATTTCTGTTCTTCGAGTAGAAGACATTGATAATGGCACTGAATCATTGGCAACGAAAATTCATTACGGACATCTTTTAACGTGTACAACGACTGTTGTTTTAGTAACGCAAACAAATCCTTGTATACTTTAAAATTTCAATTTATGGTATACGTGTTAATGCATTCACATAAACAGCCAACTGAAATGTTATGTAAACAATCTCTTTTTAGCCTACTGTTTTAAAATTTATAGGTCAAGAGAGACCCTTCTATCGTTTATAAAATTATAATTGTCCATAAAATAATTTATAAATAACACTAACACGAAAAAACCATAAGCAATGCTTGACCTCGTTTATCAACAATCAATAAACTGCAACATTTAAAATTAATATTCAGATTTAATATAAGAAATCTTTTTGAATATTTTTCATAAATATTTTGTTTTCATTATGGATAATACACGGTATCATTTTAAGAAATTATTATATCTGATATAATTTTGGCCTGTAATAGCGTTATAAATGTGCCTCGACGGTCCATTACTTTGTTTACGTCGACGTCAAAACAATATTAAACTGGTAGCTATGTTATAAATTAAGTATATCAAATTATCACGTTATTATATTTGGTACTGAAATATATCATTGATCTGCATAAATTAATAAGTTATATTAAGTATAGAACAAATTTGAAGTTATATAAATTTCAAATTTTATATTTATACAGAATTATTCTTGCAACTTATACACGAAAACGTTTTATTTTTTCTTTTTGTATACTTAATACAGTTTTTTCATTGTTTTTGTTAACGTACTTCACACATTTTTCTGACTACTTTTTTATTTATAATAGTTTAGCATAGCTGCAAGTAAATATTCTGTAAAACAGAAAAGTACATCGTACAATATCAGTTGCATTACTGTAATATTACACTAATTTTTTAATATATTTTTCTTTGTGATAACTATGTAATAGTTTTAAAGAGAGACTACTGTGTATGCAAATTTTATGTAGATCATTTCTAGTTAATTAAAGACACAAATGTTATTGATATACACAAAGTATTAAATGTTCAAGACAATATAATTTTCTACTTTCTAAGAACTATTAAAACTTACTTTTATATTTTGATTTATTTCATTAAAAGTTTAGAAAAAGTTTTTACACATTATGTATAAAAACATTTTCCAGAACTTTGAAACAAAATGACTGTTGTTAGATTTTTTTTTAGTTTTTCACATTAAAACGATTTAATTTCTATTTCTAAGGAATCTACAAGAACAAAGTTCAAAGAAATTTGTCTCTATAAACAAAACATAACTTGCAGATATATTTATGTATTCTACTTACTTGTTAAATTCAAATCTATCTATTCCTTTTCTTTCTACGTTCTGCTCTATTCGGACGGCTCTATTTAATTATCGGACAGCCGAAAATGTTCGATAATTAAATAGCAACTTTGCTGGTAAAGGTTCGAGTGATTATATTATTTTAATTCTTGTTAGTACATCTGATAACATTACAGAAAATTATTATAAATAGTATGTAATTGTAAAGTTTAGTGATAGCAGTATTAGTTAGTAGCAAGCCCATTTTTAGATATGTATAACTTAGAACATATTAAGCCAAATTATAAATGCTGGAATTTACGGCAAAACTGCCCTTATTAACTTATTTTGTTTCATTTTTATACCTAACTCAGCAGGTCTTCGTATTCTATATTTATTACAAATATAAATTTCACGTGTGTACTGTTTTTTTTCAATATAAAAAATAAAAAATAAATAAGAAATAGTTACAGGTTCTGATTTTGTCCACGTGGTTATTGTTTGTTCTGTTTCGATTGGTTCTTTTGGAGCTAAAATTTGGGGTGTTTAAAAAATTAACAAATATATTTAAATTTTTAAAATTGGATCACCAACTTTTTTAGAAATTTGCTACTTTAATAATTCTTTATTTTAAAATATTTTTTGAGTGACTTTTTTAAATATGGACAGCGATTGCTTATTTTTAAATTAATTCATTTTAAATACTTAATTTACACCCATTTTCTTCTTTTCATTTCATTTCATTTACTTTTGTAACTCCTATAAATTTAAATTATAACATTTTAGATATTACGACTTGATTCAACATCTGATTTAAGTAGAGTGTTTAAACATCAAGAATTATTTGAATTTTGCATGTTGAGTATTTGATTTTATTAATCGAAGATTAAACTATATTGTATGTAAATTATGCAGAAGTTATCATCACGAACAAGGAACAGATGAAAGCATTGTCTCCTGAATAGCGGTATTGAACTCTTTCAAAAATGGGAGGGGATAATGATAATACATCTTTCTTATTAAAGTAGTTACACTTGTTCCAATATTTATTATCGATATATTTTAAATATAATAACTTTTTACATTCTTTTTTATAAGGAATTTCTGTTAAAAAATAAATTTATAAATGCAAGCATTAAATTTAATATTTATATAATAGATTTGACTGCTTGTGGATTCAGCTTAGTCATTTATAGAGGGAATGGTAAGCACGCAATTTCGGAATCAAATATTTTGTACTAAATAAGAACCTTAATTAAACCTGTTACAAGGGAAACATTCCGTCAAACATAATTAGTTAATAAAATTGAGAAAAGCTTACATTAATTTCTAAATTAGGAAGTTTTTTCTTTTTTTCATCGTGATGTTGAATGAGTCTATAGAAATTTTTCAACACTAGACATTGAACTTTTAAGGACTTGTTCAGCATTTTCGAGTTTTAATGCTTAAAACATTAATTAATAGGAAATAATTTTCTGCTTTGTAAATTATTTTCTTTACTGTAAAAAGTATAAAACGCATACTATAATGAAAATTTAAATGACTGAATTTGCTATCTCTAGTTTAAAAAGAGCATCACATCAAGTTTAAATTTAATATTTATCATGAATCACTTTAATGTTATATATATTTGTGAAGTTTAAACCATTCGATTTTATTTTCGTATGACAGATTCGTTGATAAAGTAAGATTTGCTTTTACAGAAAGACTGCCACTAATTTTAAAATTTTCGCAATTATTCTTATACACTTTACTATTTCAATACATATTTTAACAGAATAATAATTATTAACATGGAATTTATATTCATAATACAGTAGAGCGTCGATTTTCCGAAAGTCAATCATCCGAAAGAATTCCAGTCGGCAAATTTAAATTTTCGCCAGTGCTATGGCGCTTCAATCTTTGGCTATGTCTTGGGCTACTCAAATATTTTACGTTTTTGATACTAAATTAACATCTGAAGTATAATTTTTTTATTATTTTTATATTTTTCAATATATTTATTTTGTTTGTACAAAATAAAAAAATAATTTTTAACGATACAATAGTCTTTGCTAGGCTTAACATCGACGAAAATTCAACGTGAAGCGACACGCAACGGAGAAAAATTTAGACATCGGATACATTAAACTATTTTATCGTACGTAAATCAGTTATCCGAAATATCAGTTATCCGGACAACCCCAGTCCCCAATTGATTCGGAAAATCGACGCTCTACTGTATAATCATTTCAAAATGATTACTATATTCAACCTGGATAATTTTCACTCTTTTCGTTCTTTTTATTCATTATTACATTTGTCAACGATAAAATGAAAAATTTTATGACACTCATTTGCTCATAAATGCTCGACGATTATCACAAGGAAATCGTTTGAACAAAGACTCGAAATTTTCCTACTCGTTTTTTAGATTTTTATATATTAATATTATGATTAAGTTTCGATATAAAGATACGGGATACTAAAAAAGAATGCTTAAAATGCTAGGAAAAATTTGAGGGTCGCAAATTTTGAGTAATTTGTACATAAAATACGACCTTGCTAATCCAGTGTGACTGCCATTTCCATGAAAATGTTAGTCATGTTCCACATTCCGTTTTCTTGTTTACTCGGGTTTCATTTCTGTGTACATTATTGCATATCAGAGGCCGTATTATTTGCCCCATCCCTAAAAAGAATTAGCACCGAGAATGACAGATCATATCATTCATTGCCTTTAGACCTATACACTTCGGTAATCCGACACTTTCGCTGATATGGCACGACTTCGAGCAAGCAATGCCCAGATTAGCAAGAGTCCAGTGCATAAATATACACTAGATTCTGTATATATCGTAGCGTTCACTTCAAGTAATTTCCGCATTGATATTTTAATTTTCCAAAATATTTTTTACACATATAGCAATGGATTTATGCAAAATATTTTTATGCACAGTACCACTAATATATCAGAAAATAATGGCAGTTTCGAAACCACACATTTTTTCATTTATATCCTTCAATTAGCACATTTACCTAATTCTATATTTAAATTACGAAATACTAAAACCTTTAAAACATTTTAAATTAAAATATTTATATTTTTTAAAGTTTATAATATTCTTTCTTCTTTTCTGTAATCATATTATTATTATTATTTTATAATTTATCCGTAACGTATTTTGCAAATACAGCTAAAAAACCAACCTGAAACAGATGAAAACCATCACTTTTATTCTGATGATAGCTCAGTCACCACAAATGAAGAACTAGATGTAACTACAGATTTTCATATAATAAACAGTCCTCTTCGGAAGAAATTCCTGGAAATGTCATATAAACAACATAAATAATATTTTCCGTCAATTTTATTTCATTGTTAATATAAATCAAATACATTTAGAAATTTAGAAGTCGTTTCGTTTATTTTGACACTCGTAAAATGTTTTGGGAGAATTTTATAATTGTCAGTCAAACTAAATTGTGTTCAATCATACTCTGAATGCAATTGAACACGTTAATTCTTCTGAAGACGTAAAACAATTTCGAAAGTATTTAAATGTTCAAATAAACGAAATTGAACTTTGAAATAACATAAAATAGATATTTACCTTAAAAATCAATAATATTAAAAATTATATCTATAAACACATTAGTTTTCTTATTTGTAATGCTAATAGTTTGAAACGCATATCGATATGTGTTAGCATTTGTATTATTAATTATAAAAAGAAGACATTAGTGAAAATGTAAAGTAAAAAGATTAATAGAATAAAAATTTGAATTATTATTATTATTATTTAATTTATGAACCAGTGTTACGCTTTTGAGAGAAATTTAATTCCCTCAAAATTATTTACATTTTATCAATATACTTATGAAACATATCACCAATAGATATTTTATCTTAATATCATTCGTTAATTAGAACAAAAAATTCATCGACCTTTCGAAGAGATATTTTATCATTACGAAGCATTTAATAATGGGATACAATTATTAACATAAATACCTTTAATGGTTTTGTGCGAAACTATTGAAAATTCACATTTTTTAAGCGGGTTTTTTGTTTTGTTTTTATTATTGTTGATGGGTAATATGTATAGAGATCTTCGCAGGAATCAAGTTTCGTACTACATCGATGTACTGCATTAGTGAATGACTGAGGATAACGTTCTCTGGGGAGAGATTTTTATTTCTGCTTTGCATCTTGATTAGTCACCTTGATCGTCTCTATATGAGGAAAACCTAAAAGAAAGTACTTCGTGAGATATTCTACTGCAAAATATTCTTTACGTCCCACCTAGTTTAATCAATCACTCAAAAATTATCCTTAGTTTTTTTAAAGATTATTCTCAACCATTCATGTTCGCTAGTCTTTATATTACTTATATTTAGTTAACACATTAAGCTCTGTTACAGCTTATCATGCAGCATCAACCGTCTGCATTAAAAGTCAGCAAGTGGCTTGATAATGACAATAAATTTCTCGTCGTATAATCATTTTTATTCCCTCAGCAAAAAGAAAAACACTAATTTTAAGCACCGTTTTAGGATTCTGTGCCAACTTTTTAATTTTAATCAATTTTTGAAAATAATTCAAATGCGTAGGAAACAATTGTTTTACGGGTCATATCTCATTACATGTAGCTTTTGAACGTTTAATCCCTATAAAATGTTTGGTCATACGGACAGAGCTTCTTTCAGAAAACGTTCTCCAGTGATATTTTCTGATCTGAGGGCGGTGACAAATGCAATTTGTCGGTCAATTTATATATACAGTATATAACTTAAATAGTGTGCTCTTACAAACTGTTTATAGCCTATGAGGTATTGTTCGAAGGATTAATTACACATTTCAACAATAACTACCATACAATTCGGGTCAATTTAAATCTTAAACCCTTTTTTTTAAAAATTCAAGCCAGAAACAGACGATAGACAACTTGAAGATAAAATATAATTCATTAAAATGATCGACGATGGCTGGAATTTAAAAAAAAAGGATTTAATATTTAAATTGACCCAAAATGCATGGTCGTTATTGTTTAAGTATGTTTATACGAGGTTATACAAAGAGGTATTACACACCAGGAAAGGCTTGGACGTTGGTTTCTCGGCCTCCGAGACCCCACAAAATCTCCAGTCTTCCTTAACCCCCTGAAAATCTTTCATATATGGTCTACAACTTTAGCAATGGCTGCAGGGTGTCAGAGAGTTGCCTGCATGACTGGCTGAGGTAAAGTTTAGTCTTTTCACAAACACTATAGTAAGCCTATAGTGTTTGTGAGGCCTATCCTATTAGGTCCTGTTGAACACTTAATTGTTAGTAATACTTCAAATTATAGTGTAGAATGTAATGGAATTACCGAACTTCGCTTATATTGAGTCGTTAAGAATGAAAGATTTATGCAAATTATAATTTCAAATAAATATTAAAATAATTAATTAAATACCTTTCTTTATTTCTGAATATAACATTTTTAAATGCTTTCTATGGAGTCGAATTATGAAACAGACGAAGTGTGCCTGCTCGATGGTTGCGTAGCGACCTCTAGTGGAATATTTTTTTAAATGTAAAATTAAATTTTAAAATTACTACTTATATATATTTTACAATATAAAATTAATGTATGTAAAAAATATGGTTTACTTTAAAATATTTAGCGTTCTTATTTGCAATTATAAAAGTTTATTTAAAATAAATTACAAACATTATAAATTTTAATCAGCTCTTACCTCTATGGAATCCGGTTTCGAATCTGATCTGGAGTTTAACGAGGTATCGAGCACTCGGAGGGTCCCAATCGCAATGTAGTTTTGAGGCCCTTTGTTATAAATACTAAACAATGCTAGCAAATTAGTTTATTGCTTTATTTTAAAAAATACTAATCAGTCAATCATTTCCTTAAAAACAAACCTCTAAATGTCTAGATGAAAATGGTATCTATGCTCGAGATTCGTAGAATGTATCTCTTTTTGAAGTTGCTAACTTTCGGAGCCCCAAGCGCGCGCTTCATGCTCCCGTGCGAGGATCCGTCACTAGATTTCGTAGTATCATTAATTCGGACCGAGACAACATTCCCTATCTCTCACAAGAGCTCATTTTAACTCCGCTGCGATGCCGTACACTCAGGCTTTTTGGGGGATGTAACCTCCTATTTCGCAATAACAGGTCGTGAGGAGGTCGTGAATGAATCTGATTATGTTACGAAAAATAATGTTTTTTTTTTTTTTAACCCCACTGTTATAAAAATACTGTTTACGAGTCTGGACTACCCGAAATGCGCGATAAACTGGGCTCGAAATGAAGAATTGTGTTCGGGATTTAATTCTTAATCTTTGTTTGCTATTAAACAGCTTAAAATAATATTTTACAGAATGTTGCCAGAAAGTACAATTGGAAGAAGACGGAAGTTGGAGTAAAAGTAAATGCGATACGGAGGAAAATTTACAGGGGCTTTGTATTCGAGACAGCATCGGAAAGTGTTGAAATTTATGTTTTATATGCTTTTATTTTAATATATTTATTATATTTGTATATGTATTTGATGTTTTAGGAGAAGGAGCTCAACTGGAACCGACTGGATTAAAAGCAGTAAACAGTCAAACTGTCCGATTAAATTGGGATTATAAGGGGGTAGGATGGAGAACCAACAAGATGACGGCTAAAGTATGGAAAGGAAACGAAGATACTAAGACGTATGAAGCTTCTACCGCACAAAAATATATTGATATAGATAATTTGGAGCCTAGCGTCGTTTATTCTTTAATACTTAAACCAGGATTTAACATCGTCACTAACGAAACAATTGTTAATTTTACAATTAGTGAGTTTCACTTATTTAATTTGTTAAAAATTTTATTAAATTCTATTGAATAATTTTCCATTGAGAAACATTAATTTAGGACCTAATTTTAATAATAAAATTTAAATTTTAAGTTAATCGAGGTGTGAATTGCCAATAGATGGCAGCAGCAGCAGCAGCAAACGGAGTAATTTTTTGCACATAGGGAAATAGCAGCTTCTCAACCTTAATGACTTCAGATTTATTTTAGTAGCATTTTGGGGATCGCGATCTACCAGTTGAGGGAAGCAGCATAAAGAAAATGTTTTTGTCGACTTTTAATGAATTTCGAACAAATTTAAGCTCCATAACATAATAAAATTATATTTTATTCAATAATTCAATGTATTAATTCTTTCAAGAGAGATAAATGTACTGATTATCATTTAAATAAGATTATTTTATTTATATTAATTGTTTATGTCCATCAAACAGCCCCTAAAAATAAATTTCCAGTGGGCGGAACGAAAGAACCTGTTTAGCAGTTTAACAAATAAGTAATTAACTTGTAATCTTTAGTAACATTACCGTAATACGTCATGGAAAGTAGAAATTCATTCGCATCGCCTCGAGCCGCATACCGCGATGCGAAGCGCAACATATTACACGCGAATCTTACAATACTTAATTTTATTAAGAATTTATAAACGCTTAAAAGAATTTCATGTTAAACAGAAGTAAAGAAGAAAAGAAACCCACTATTGCACGCTGTAAGTGTAAGTTGCTAATCGCGTGACGTCGCGTCACGACGTCACGCGATTAGCAACAAGATAGGCGTATTAAAATAATCACTAACAAATGGCATTACGATCTCGAACGCCATTTTTTAAAGCTGCGCGTAACTTAAAGCGCATTTAACGCTCGAAAACCAGAATCGATTTTCGTCAATCGGAGCGTGACGAAACCAGAGCTTTCATTTCTTTAAGGATCCGTTTTAGACAGGTTTTAACGTTTAAAAAAGCGTTTTCTATTGCTAAATTAAGACGGGGCGATCAATCGACCACTAAGATTTTTACATTTTTGGACTCAGAGGATCTTAAAATGTCGAGAAATGCAAAATATTTGGTGATTTCCTGTGTCTATGGATGTGTATGGTGGCACGATTTTTTGTTCACTCAATTCGAAGCTTAATAACTCCCCTGCTTTTGTCGAAAATTTATGAAATTTGGCAGGGAGGTTTGCGCATTAGGGACTCTAATGCTATTAAATTTTGGACGTTAAAGGTCGAGGGGATGGGGAGATTGAGAGGGTCGTGTGTCTCATCTCCACCGTGATCGAAGATTTTACTCATTAGAATTTTTTTAAAAACTCGTCCCTATCCTCGAAATTAAGCATTTTGCTGTTTTACAATAATTAATAATATAAAATAGTTTCTAAATAGATGGCGCTGCACGCAATTTTAAATATTTTGCTGGGAAAGTTACGCAACTCGTTGCTGGATTTTTAAAATGTATAAGAATTTTATACATACGAAAAGGGGGGTTGAGATTTTGCTGTGAAATTGCATAATTTGTATGCAATTGGAGAGAGTTTGGTGACCAAAACTTGTCTTAATTAACAGATAATTTAACGGAATTTTTATAGATTAAATCGTAAAAAGTTAGTGTTAATTAATTCAGACTTTATCTAGTTAAGTGCTCTGTCACGTATGATAAAGGTTAATCGTGACAAGGTAAGCGCGTGCTGAAGATAGCCAAAAAAAATTCGTATTTTTTTTTTTTTTATAAATACTTTGCTTTGTTTAGGTCATTTATCACTCTGACAACTTTACTAGAGATTGCGCCATTTTATTTTTAGCGCGCGCGTCGCTACAAGGCCTATTAATGAAGCTATTTAAATAATTTTAACGAATAATTTCTCACAGAAATGAAGAAATATATTATTAAATTTATTGGTAATTCAATTAGAAATGTAAATTTTCAGAAAATCTCGTTTGTATGCGAAAATTTAGTAAGCGCGTCGCGACTGGGCGTCGAGTCACGTTTTGCTACAAAATTTTTATTTGTGGCAAAATGGCATATAAAACTCAAAGTAACGTAATAATTGCATACAATTATCCTTATATTAAGTAAAAAATGTTTTATAAAGTTTTTAAATTGAATTTTAAAAAATGCCAAAACTTAATGTTTGTTCGCGTGCGCTGGCGCGTCGTTCAAAAATAAGTAAAAAAATATTTATTTATATTCAGAAAAAACATTTTCTCTTAAATATTCACACTGTTTCAACGTAATTCAATTTTATTCACTTAGTTTTTTCGTATTAATACACTCGTTTTCGATTTCAGACGCGACGCGACGGCTCGTCGCATCACATCTGTAAACATTTAACAGAACACTACGCTGTTACTGATCGATACACACCTATAAAATTAATAAATTAGATAATTCTCGCAACTAAAAACATGGTCGTCCCAACAATTCCATTATCCTACGATAGAGTTTTTGAAAAAGTAGCGTACGACAGACAATGCAACGTACGCTCTTGTAAATAATTATAGAAAATAATAAGTAATTCAGAATCCTTTAACGTATTGTACAAACTTAATTATAATAAAAGAAAATCAGTAAAACTATAATTTAAATTTAACATCTAATTATCTTTTCAGTCGATTTCTCTAAATCTGGGGAGGAGGAGGGCTCCCAATTTGGTAAGAAATGTGTTTTTTATTGATAATTTATGCAAATCTGAGCTCTAATTTTATTATTTTACTCAAATTTGAGCTTTAATTTTACGATTTTTGGCCAAATTTCCAGGCGGTTTTCTGTGTTATATACCCATAGAAGCTTACGTATATTGGAATGGGAGCATCGGAGTGAATTGGAACGAAGCTGTAGCCTCATCACTCGGAGAAACCTCATCCTGGAATGCCGATTCTTATATTATATCATTCTATGTTACTTCAGAAGATGAAGCAACGAGTAAATCGATCGAAGTTAAGGAAAATAACTTCCTCGTATCCACAGCGGCTTTACAAACGGAATACACGTTCGATCTACAGTGTAGATTCGGAGAAAAACTCTACCCCTGTGGAAACACGCGCTTAGCTACCGGTAAAAATGTTAATTTAGTCATTTATATATCTTAAAAGTTGAGTTAACATTAAGTTCTGCCACTGATAAAACGTGATTTCTCTCTCTCATCCTCTTCCTTCAAGGTTTACCGGATAAAGTGAGGGAGAGAAATGGTTTCTACGTCTTGTATCAGTTAGTTTCCGAGAAGAAAACGTGGCAGGAATCGGAAAAAGAATGCCAAAAACGCAGAGGACATTTGATCAGTTTAGAAAACGAGCAGGAATTTAAAGAAATTGGAAAGTTAATTTCCGAACCCGACGTAATCTACTGGACCGGTGCTAAACTGGAACGATCTGGTTAGCATCAAACACTCGAGAATATTAAATTTTAGCATTTTTATAAAATTAAAATATTATCTCTATTAGAAAGGGGACGTTGGACGGATGGAAACAGGATCAATTACTTTCCTGTATCTAGTCGAAATTCGGGTGTTACTTCGGCTAGCGAGTCGTGTTTTCACACCACTGAAGAGAACAGAAGGATGAGGATTATAGGAGGCAACTGTCAAGATCTCTTACCGTTTATCTGTAAATTTACAGAGCGTGGTACGTTAGAGATTTTATTTAATTTATTAAATATAATATTAATAATGATGATAACTCTCCTGTGGTCACCATCTGGTCATTGTGGGAGATCTCAATAATTTTACTGAACCATAGAAGAATACAGGCTGGAGCACAAGCTCCTGGTAGGGACACCCATGCCAGTAAGGTCTGTGGTGAGAAATGAAGCTAAGAGTGACCACACCCACATTCTGTGGAAATATTTATCATGGTAGAACCAGACCTAAATATGATACTGGCTCAGATGTTGCCTGAGTTAACAAGGTCTGCATTCATGGCTTAGGCAGAGGCTCATGTTCTAAAATTGGGCTACAGTCTCCTTTGGTTGCTACAGCACCAACCCAAGCATGGCTACTGCAATCCCTTCAACAGATCTGTGAAACCAACCTAGCCTTCAGGTTTCTGTGGCAATGCATCCACAGACCACAAAGGCTGGAAAACCACGCCAATGGATGAAATGGACAATGGAAATGAATGAGTTTATCATCTATACTTACTACATCACAATACTTGAAACAAACCTGACAGCATACAGACAGCAACTATAACATAGATTCACACAACAATATCCTCACCTCGCTGTCACTAACAAAGGATTGTTGATAAAAAAAAAAAAAAGACCAAACTACATCAATAAACAAATACTCTCAATATTAACAGTGATCACTTAATCTATCAGAATCATCAAGATACATGCATTGACAATACTGTTTTCACCACTATTTGCTGACAATATCAACACTGATTTACTTTTTGAAATAGATTCAGATTTAATTCATACTCTCTGTCTTCTTTTCCAGGAAGCATTCACTAAATTTACAGGCACTGACTCTGTATGACAGTCACACATTCTCAAAATCAACACTTATAAACTAGTAAAGAAAATTCTATGTGAACACTTGCATATTACCAGATTGCATTCATTTTATTTCTACACACTCAGACATCCACACACTAGTCTATGCTGGTGCGGTCACAGTTGTGACCTACCATGGACTAAAACTACATCTACAGTCAGAAGCACATAAATCAAAACCCTTCAGAGGCCTGCCTGGCAAAGAAGAATAGAAACACAAATAAACAATATTAGACAGCAACTAGGCAGGATGACACAATATGCTAATAACAAAACAACTCCTACATTAATGAAATAATTTAAAAATTTTCAAGAAAATTAAAAGACACATTAAGCATGAACAACACAATGTCCACATTGCATAATACATTGACACACAAACAAAATCTTGTAGCCAAAGCACGGTGACTGAAACATTACAAAATTTGCTCTGTACGGAAACAATAAAATAAATTATTCATAAACAACGAAAAACTCTTTTACAAGGAAATTAATACCAAATCCACTGAAGAAGAACTCCCAAATTATTGGTCTTCCCTTTGGTCTACTGTTGTCATGCAGAAGCAGACTGGATCAAAGAAGAGAGTGAAGACAAGTAGAACATACCTAGTATGCATTGTGTTGAAATAAATACACAAGACATCCATTGCACAATGCAGAAAGCATACAACTGGACAGCACCTGATGTAGACAACATTCATAATTTCTGGTACAAAGAATTCACATCCTTCACCAGGAACTAGCTAAACATTTAACTCATATCATCAACAATCCATAAGATATGCCAAATTTTCTACATGAAACCAAAAAACAACAAGTAGTTATTTATTGTGATGCAACACAATCCTAGGCTGCAATTTTTAATCATATACAGTGGAACATCGGTATATGACCGTAATCCGTTCCTGATGTTTGGACTTATACTGAATAGGACGTATACCGAACCAACCTTTCCCGTAAGAAGTAATATAAAAATGATTAATCCATTCTCATGTAAAAAAAAAAAAATATGGCTGACATTAAACACTTCGCTTTCCTGGCTAGTTTCTGCTTGATTTTTCATAAGATCAACGTGTATCTTTTTAGCTTTCTCGCAAATAATTGCTTCTGATAGGATGTCGCCAGCACACTGTTTTTCAGTTATCCAAGCAAAAGTAATTTCTCAACATGATCCAATGTCTTCGATCTCTGTTTAGAAATTGATTTAACTCCTTTCGCAACGTTAGCCGATTTAATAATGTCTTTATTTTTCACGATTNCTGTAAATTTACAGAGCGTGGTACGTTAGAGATTTTATTTAATTTATTAAATATAAAAAATATATATTTTTTCGTTGTTATTTAATAGATTTAGTAGCGAAAATAGAAGAATTTAAAGTAGAAGCGATAACTTCTACAACAATAGATATTTCTTGGAGAGATCCGAGTGTACTTTGGAAACCGACTTTTTATGACGTGTACGTTTGTCTGGAGGATAAATGTCAGAAATACGGCAATTCTGTCGCAGAATATGAAAAATCTTTAGAGGATTTAACCGAATTTACCGATTATACAATTAAAGTAGAATCGGTTTTAAAGCCTCTGAAGTTAAAAACTCCTTTCGTCACCGAGGTCATGACGGGTAACTAACCATTAATATGATATTTGTGCAGTTTAATATATATCCGGCACTGTATGTAATGCGTTTTATTGTTGTAGAACCCATCAATCCGATTGCTGTTAATATTACATGGGATGGAGCTGTAAGTATGGCAAGTTTATTACTTGTCTCTCGAAGAAAATCCGAAGAAATATTGGATGTAACGGCTATCGATTCTGTTGGAAATCACAAAGTAACATCGCGTGACAAAGCCGAAAAAATAACATTAACAGGTTTAATACCGGGTCACGACTACAACGTGTCGATGCTCGGAGATACTTGGAAGTATTCTTTTATTTTACCCGCTTGTAAGTAACGTAGATAAAAATCTTTTCGGGCTTTTTGATATAATTTTACATTGTTTTATATTATTAAAATATAAAATTCCAGTTCCCAACTGCAGCCGGAATCAATTACAATATTTAAATAATTGTTTCTGGGCGGAGGAAAATGGCAAAGATGCAAATGATTGTCAGAGGCAAAACGGCTTATTAGGGAAACCGTCATTGGTACAATTAAAAAGTATAAGCTCGTACTTAAATAAATACGAAAAGATTAAACTAGACGGTTCGAATCTCGGTAAACAAGTTGAAAAATATATAAATTTTGGCTGGTTTATTATGTTTTAATTCACAATTTAACTTTATTTCAGAGGATAATTGCGCAGATAAAACGGAAGAAACGTGTTGTTCTATGGAGGAAGAAACAAAATGCCAATGCTGCGAGGATGCTAGTGTTCTTCTCTGCCAATCACCCATTGAATGTAAGGCTATTTTTACCTTTTAGACAATTCTAGAACGTAATATTAAAGATAGAAAACACGTAGTTAGCATAGGAAAGGTGGAGAACGTAGAAATTTCCAATGTCACATTTGAATCCGTGGCTATGACGTGGTCTCGACCTTCGACCTTATGGAATATCCCATCGTATCGTATCGAATGGAGACCCCTAAATGATATAGGAAGAAGGAAAGATGTGGGCGAATTAATAACGAACCAAGCTGAAGTACAGATCAAAGAATTAAGATCCGAAGCATCTTATGAGATGAAGATAACACCCGACGTGGATAAGAGATTTTATGGAGAAGATTACATTAAAACATTAACAACTTTAAAGGGTGGGTTACATACACATTGCTTAATTACTATTAAACCCTTAAATATGCTATAAAGCTGCAGGAGAGTACAATTTTATGTTGTAGATCCGAGAATTCCTGCCAAATACGAGATAAGTGCGGATGGAACAGTATCGATAACCAGCCCTAAATTGAAAGATATGGGACGTAAAGAAGAGTTACTGGATGTTCGAATATTCAATACTAACGATCCCGATGACGTAATTTTATCTAAACAGCTTCGTGCTAATGATATGAGTGTTAAAGGCTTGACTCCATCGCTTAATTATAGCGTTGTCACTAAATCGGTGGATGAATCCATTGACGATCCTTGGTATCATTCGTTTATCTTCCTAGCTTGTAAGTTTTTATACTGATTTTTTCGTATTCCGAATGAATTTTTAACTGTAAAACCTATATTTTTATAGCTCTAACTTGCTTATATTCAACATTGCACCGTGCGAATTGGTCTGCACTAAACATAGATAGAGGGTAGGGCCTCCTTCTATTTGTGAATAACGAATTGCATCTGTATGAAATATCTCCTCTTAATTACATTTATTATATATATATNTCGTAAACTGCTGTTGTAACGTGTAACTGTGGTTATGGAATTTTATTTATAAATTGCGGAGACAAAATTGTTTTATTTTCTACAATTTCGGGTCCTCCTAAATCATGCCTCTCTAGTCATGTGCCACACATGCCAAGCGAGACTTAAAAACGTATAATCGAGGTTTTACTGTACTTCCGAATATGTGTTAGTAGCCTAATTTAGGAATTTGTTATATTCTAGATACGTAAAAATATACTCTCGTATACATTCAATCGAACCATTTTGCTTTCTTTGCCCTCAGGCCCCTAGGCATAAGCCTACTTAGCTTAATCCGTCATTGATTTTAACTCAGACTGTATATATTAAATACCTTCAGCCAAATGTTTAAACTCATTTCCTGACTTCCAAATTAATTATTCCTGTTCATTTCAGTCGAAATTATAGAAAAGAAATGTCCAGGAGACGAAACTTTTAATAGTCAAGACGGACTACAAGCCAAATGTTGTTCCTTCAATACTTTAGCTGGGATTGTAACCTGCTCGTGCTGTAGTGAAGACATGATGGTCATATGCCAAAAAAATGTGCCAAGTGAGAATAGTCGATTGTAGAAAATGATTATTACGAGTTTTCTCGTTTTTAAAACGATAATTATATTAACAGTCGATTTAGGAACAGTTCAGAATTACAGAGTTGTGAATGCCACTTACGATTCTTTGTGGATTAAATGGGAACCACCGAAAACTTCTTGGAAGATAAAATCCTATTCTGTAACTTGGACTCCACAAAAGTGGAATGGAAGATCGAAAGATAAAGGAAATTCCACGTTATTCGATGTAGAATATAAAATAACAAAATTAAAGCCCGAAAGAACCTACGTGGTATCCGTGGCACCATTTGTAATTGAGAGTCTTACTGGAAATTACGAGGAAGTTACTTCAACAACTTTAGAAGGTAACTGTTAAGAAATTCAATATAAATTATGCTATTTTATCAATTTAAATTATTTTAAACTTAATAATTGTAGGTGGTAGGTTAATTGTTTTAATTGATATTTTGTTTGTTATATGGGGGTTGTAATCTCGTGCCGCATGGCTTTACTTATATCGGTGTATAAATAAGTTGACTGTAGTGCCTAATTGACGTATTATTCATAAATGAATAATAAAAATCCAGTAATGAGTTGCTTAACTTTCCAGGAAAAAAGGTTAAAATTGTGTGTGGCGCCATCTGTTATAAGATTTTATTTAATGATTTTTTATGTTATTATTATAAACTGGTAAAAAGCTTAACTTTGAGGGTACAGATGAGTTTTATAAAAAAAAATTGTAAATTGTACTCGTTATTAGCGAGTAAAAGCTTTATTAACAGGTCACGTGTCTCGAGATACGACACGTGACCTCTATCTCTCCACCCCCTCGACCTTTAATCACCAAAATTTAATAGCATCAACCCATCTAATACGCAAACCTCCCCGGAAAATTTCAGAAATTTTCGACAAAAGGCACAGGAGTTATTAAGCTTATAAGAGGGCGAACAAAATCGTGCCCCCCCAAACACTTACATCCATAGATACTGGAAACCCCTCGAATTTTTTGCATTTTTCGACATTTGAAGGTCATTTAAGTCCAAAAATCTAAAAGTCTTGGGGTGGCAATTGTTTTTGATCGATAACCATACTTTCTGTCTATTATATATAAAACCCAGAAAAGTAAGAATACCTCAATGTTTAATGAATAATTATATCTCAGTATAAAGCCAGAACAGTTGTACAATACAAAATTTCATCACTGTTAATAAAATAATAATAATTAACTAAATAATGCAAATTATAGAACACCTGACTGGATTTGCACATAAGCTAAATAAGGTGCAATTTAGGATCCCACATTTTTACATGTAATATAATTTGGTGGAGTGAAAGGGCCTACTATATGTTAAAGTTTAGGACCACAATAAATGTAAGCCCAGCCTCGATAGAATGTTTACATTTTTGATAAATTAGTGGGGATTTGCAAGAAACTGGAAGGATTCTATTGATTGGAGGAGACAGGAGAGCAGGCAAGTTGATTGAATAATTAACACCAATAAAATGCGAGGTTTGAAGAAGATATTGTGACCTCAGGTCCAAATAAAGGACCAGAAGAGTCATTCAGACCGGGCTCTTGATACAGAAGGCCCCAGAGTTTAGTCTATTATATATAAACACGATAGGAGAATGAGATAATTTAGTTTGTATTAATAAGTGGAGACAAATTTGTTACTTTCCTGATTGCCATATGTAGCAGCGACGGCCAAAAACCTACCCCTCCACCCAAGATTTTTATATTTTTTGACTCGGGAACCCTCAAAACATTGAAAAATTCCGAAAAAAGTTGGGGTTTTTTCTGCATATGCAAGGTATGGATTTATTGCGTGTGTGGGAATGGAACGATTTTCTTCACCCATTTTGAAGCTTGATTGTTTTTGCTGTGCCTTTTGTCGAAAATTTCTGAAATTTTTCAGGGAGGTTTTTATATTAAGAAGATTGATGCTATTAAATTTTAGTGGTTAAAGATCGAAGGGGTGGGAAGATAAAGGAGGGATTAAGTGTCATATCTCGAGTGGGATCGAACAATGATTTTATTCATTACTAGCACTTACAATTTTTTTCAAAAATAAAACTTATCTCTACTCTACCCTCGAAATTACATATCTTGCCATTTCATAAAATTTTTAAAATGAAATATCATATAATAACAGATGGCTCTACACACAATTTTAACTTTTTTGATGGGAAAGTTATGCAACTCGTTGTTGAAATTTTAAAAATTTCTTTACTTGCTGATTTAATTCGTATATTTTTATGGCTTTCAAAAAGGGATCGAGGATCCTATTTGTGATTGACCAAGCCATTTTCACCTGTTCCATTCTCTTTGTGTTATCATTACCTAAATTAAAAGTAGAGACTCGTAAATAGCTTCTACATTTAAGTGTGTACCATTGTTTCCACTTTCATCAAATGGTTTACACTATATAAATTTGGAAAAATATTTTTTAAATTACTTGAAAACGAGCCGAATTCTCCATTTTACTTAATGAAATACAGTTTGAAAATCTGCATATCTAGCTTCTTAGACAGATAATGCATGTAGTATAAGAGAATCTTAGTTGTTTAGAACACGAATACAATTGTAACATTAATACATTAATAGAATCTTTCATTCGAAAGGTTAAAGATTCATTAGGAAAGATAAATTAATCACAATTGTTCAGAGTCTGTAGAGCGCGTTGCAAAAACACCCTCCGCTAAAGATATTTGTTTAATTTTCAATTTAGAGAATAACTTATTGGCAGTAATGACAAACAAACGAAACAATTTGTTTGATTTAAGCAAACATTTGTAAGCATATTTGAAAAGAAATAAAAATTGCTTTAAGCGGATTTCATTGTTGAAAGATTAATGATCTTTAAAAGTTTCGCTGACTCGTTTGCTTGTTAAATACTTGATTAATAGTAATGTTAAAGTTTCTCTAGCATTTATTGTTCTATTCTATGCTATGATTCATGCCACCAACTTTCGTGTAAGTTGTATAAAATTATACTTTTTCATTATTAGAATGTTGTTTAGAAGTATACAAAAGTTGAAGTGCTTTAAATCATTGTATAAAAGTACGTAATGCTGGAAATTGTGTGTATTGTGTACTATTATAGAGTTCAGGTCAGACTGCAGAATGCTAGAGGTTTCAGTTCTTTAAATCATCAAAGCTTTCCAGCATTTATGTATTATCATACAGGATTCAAGTTAGACTATAAGTTAGATAATTCTAAATATAGACAAAAAATTATTCCCAAATTTTCAAGAATTTTGGCGCTTTAAAGTGTATGGGGATAACATTGAAAAGAAATTAATAATTTATTGCTTTGCTTACTTTAAGTATAATAAAAATAATAAATTTTACCATTTCTTTCTATGATTTGAATATGAATTTCTATCGTGTTTCGTTGCGTCAAGTCGCGATTCGTGACGCGACGAGCGTGATAAAAGATATTTTATTCTGAATAGTTAATAATTCTTATTTCAAATTACTAATTTAAACCGAATTCTAAAATAAGCCTTTAATTTTTGAAAAAGATTTTAATATCCATAAGCTATCACTCAAATACAGTCGCGTCATCGAAATCGATCAGCGATGCGACTGTCGTGTGATACACGCTGAATCGATTACTTAATTTTAAAAGAAAATAATATGTTTTTAAGTAAACAACAGTAGTAGAAAAGATTTTCTTTTCGACTGGGGTAAATTATGCATTTTTTTCAATGTTTAAAATTGTATTAACTAACCGTTTGGGCTCTGCGCTTATTATTATCATTATCAACCCATCTCGATTACATTACAAGACGCTTGGCGAGCACGCTTGTAGTCGCAGGCGAATCGCTTCGTAAATAATTTTAACATAGCTGTAAAGTGTGATAGACGGATAAATCTGATAAAAAAAATTTTATTAATTTGTTGTATATTTAAGATATGTTAAGCAATGTTAACTGTGTCGTAAGTTTTAATTAGCGATATTAATTTATAAGAAAAATCATTTTGTGTAGATACTCGCAGCCCTTTGCAGTTCGAGATCAACGAAGACGGAGAAATGACTATTGTAAGTCCCAAATTTATGGATAAAGAAGGCACTCCAATAAACATCACTTTATACGAAATCGGAGACACGGGGAAAGAGATACCAGTTGAAAAAGTCATCGGTAAACCCAGCGGAACCTCTATAACGGGGCTTAAACCAGGGGCAAATTATACCATTAAAGTGAACGTTAACAACGAAGACGAAGACGAGCCTTTCAACCACACAACGAATTTTATCGCCTGTAAGTCTTATATTAACGTTACAAAAGTAGAAAATTGTACAGGCACCAGCATGTGATGCAACGAGAGCGAGTTAAAACTCGCTCTCGTTGCATCACGTCGCGTAAATCGGCTAAGCTTAAAGCGCTTAAACCTAATAAATCCGAGAAAATAATTTATCACAATTAATTTCTCAGATCCCACGTGTAAACCGGAGCAGATACAAAAAGATTTAGATTGTTTTTGGATTCCGGAAGAGAAGAAACCGTGGAGAGATGCCATTTCTCTATGTCGCCAGTCGGGTGGAGGTCTAGTGGATCCTTCTTTAAACAATAATCCACGTGTTAAATCATTATTTAATTCTCAAAAATCCAGTATTTGGACCGACATGAGAAAATCCAGCCTGTCAAAAGAAGGTAAATAATATATTTCCTTAATTATTTCTGAAGAGAAAGTTACGAGTTAATCATCATCTAACCAGTTATAACACATTTTTTTATGTTCTAAATTGATTAAAATATGTTTAAATTAACTAAGTGAGCAATTCTATAACGTGAAAATTGCACTTTAAATCATTTAAAGAGTTCAATAATATAGGCCTATATTTAAACGGTTTAAATCATTGAAACTTTTCAATATTCTACAAATTTGTATAAAATTCAGGTTGGAGTGTAGAATAATGATAAGCTGAAACGATTTAAAGTATTTCCAACTTTCCAGCATTATTGTTGGAATGTCTGAATTTCAGACAAGACAAGTTTCTGTAGTTTTTATACGGAGTTCAAATAAAATTAGTGTTGCAATGTTATAAATTACTGTAGTTTTATATGAAATTAAGTTTAGGTTATTGCTTTAAATAATTGCAACTTTTCAACAAGCTTTAGATGTGAATAGAATTCAGATTAGATTACAGAATGTTAGAAAGCTATAACTCTCTAAATTATTGCACTTTTCGAACAGTATATAGGCTTACATGTGTATAGAATGTTGAAAAAGTGAAAGTTTTAAATTATTACAGCTTTCCAAAAAGCTATAGATGTGCATAGAAGTCAAAGTAGACTAGAATGTTGTAAGCCACAATGCATTAAATCAGTGCAGCTTGTTGGAAAGCTGCACTGATTTAATGCATTACACATTCTATACACATATACAGTTTGTTGGAAAGCTGCAACTACAGGTATTTAGAATATTACACCTTTCCAACATCTACATCTTGTTGTATAGCTGTAATGATTTATACACATCTATCACATTTATAGCTTTTCAACATTCTATATTTTTACATGGAATTCAAGTTATGTAAAAGAAAAAAAATCATCTTAAAATAAATATAAAAAATGTAATCGATCAAAATTTTGACATTATTACAAATGATAAAAAGTGTAATTTGAGAAGAAATTTCTTTTAAAAAACTAAATATTTTTTAGTTTTATTTATAAAAGATCTTGATAAACTAATCGTAAAAAGTGATGTTAGATAAATATTTTTCTTTACGATAAAGTAATTAAAATTTGTATTTAAAAATAATTTTTACAAATTTTTATCACTACATAAACAAAATATTTCCTTACGATTTAATTTACTTTTATGTTTCGAATTTCTTTTAATTACTCGAAAGAAATTCTTATGTTCAAGCACGAAACTACTTTTAGCAATTTTCGATAATTTATTTTTATTGAAGAATACTGTATTACGAATATTACTAAATTAACGGAGTTAAAGGATTAAATCTTCACGAAATGAAATAAAATTAAAAAAAAACAATAAATAATTTCATGAAATAAATCTAATTGTTACAAGATTAAGAATTTTGAAACAATGGGGATTTTCTGATTAATTTTTTCTACCATTTCACGATTTCATTTATCATAATTTGAAATAGTAAACGCATGGTTCATTTCAATGGCAAATAAGTGTTCCATTCAATGGTAAGTAAATGGTTCGATTCAATGGTAACTAAGTAATTCGGTTCGATTGTAAATGAATGATTGGATTCAATTGTGAACGAATGGTTGATTCACGAATGGTAAACGAATTGGAAGTGATTTCAATGGTAAATGAAACGTTTACTATTAAAAAATATCTTTGATCGTTAACAATTTCATGTCGTTTAACTAAAATTTTTAATTTTTAATTAATAAAAGACATCTCTTTTCCTTTAAAAAACACATTTCAATGATAAAATGTTTCGCTTAGTTATCCTCTTTGCTGTATGTTATGGAATAAAGTTTCAAAATTAAATTTTTCGACTAATCTCATTAATGATAAACTCATAAATTCGTCTACGTGCTTCCGCAACTATTTTACAAATTTTAAGACGATAATTTTAGCGTAATTATAGATTACATACGAGCTTAAAATGATGTTAAATCTTCATTTTAGGTTCTTATTTAATTTATAATTCTATTCAAATTATCGTCTTAAAATTATGCTATTTACTCGAAATAATATAATTAGAAACAATTTTGATAAATTATTAAATTGTAGGACGATTTTTTTCATAGATAATTTAAATTTTCAGACATGTGACGTGCAGTTGTGAGTAGATTCTAACTGTAAATCTTATCTCTAGACATTTAAATTACTCAAAAAATTATCTTAGAGTAAGAAAAATATAAAAATATTTCCTCCTTAAATTTAAAAAAATTAAAAATAAAGCCTTGAAGATAAGTTTTTTTGCGTGTTTATGCGATATGAAAAACGAGTGTTAAGATGTTACTAAACACTCTCATTTTTATAATAATTTAACTAAATATTAACCTTAAAAAATGATAATTCGGCAAAAAATTATCTAATTTTTCTAAATTATCATTTGCTACGTTTGTAAATATTTTTAAAAATTAAATATATTTGATAAAACTTTATGACGTATAACAGTATAGCGAACATAGATTTATTAAACATGATTTTTTGTTGATTATATATTTTGTTTTGGTATTAATTTATTTAGAAAATTTCACGTAAAATATTAAATGATTTAATTTAATTTGGATGCAAATTTTCGCTAATTATTTTTAAAACTTTTGAAAATTTTATTAATTTAAAAACTATTTAAAATGCACTTAAACCTGCAAAAACTAGCGTAAATATGTAAAATTACATTAAAAAAATTCATTTTAAAAGCAAATCTATCCATTAGAAATTATATTTCGTTTAATATAAGAAATTTTTTATTCAGCTTCCTATTTAATAATATTAACGTCGAACGTTTGCTTGCCTGTACGTTGACTGTAAACCAGGAGAAATTAAATTATTCTCAATTTTAATAAATTATAAGTTGAATGTAAAATAAAATATCTTATAAATAATTAATTTAATTAAATTTTATATAGAGTAGTGTATAATAGTCCTAAAAGTGTGATTTTTCTAGGTGATCAATTAGCATCTAACTGTTCGGATTCTAATGAGGATGCACTGTGCTGTTCCTACGATGTATATCCAAATGGAACGACAGGAAATGTCGAGTGTACATGTTGTACTGAAGAAAAATCATTTGTTTGTAAAACATCAAGAAACTGTAAGCTTTAAATTTTATATTTCTAAAGTAAATTTATAGTTTCAAGCAATTATAAAGCGGCGTAACTTCGTGATACTGATAACACTGAGCTACTAAATTCGTTTTTACCTCTTACACGTGTAAAATTAGTAAAAATTTAAAAAACTGTATATATATATATATATTATAGTATTTGCCAGCGTATGAGGCGTACCCATTTCCGTAATTTAGCATTTTTTTCGGGAAAAATGTGCGCCTTATACGCCGACAAATTCGTTACTCTCGAATTTATTAAATGTGAACTCATTTGACAGCATAAGAAACGTCCTAACTCTTTAAAAATACAACAATCTCTATTTGTAATTCTGTTTTAGAGCCATGGTTTTAAGTGAAATTCTTTCCATTCTAGTGAATCTTGGATCCGTTCGTAATCTTCGAGTTTCTGACAAGTTAGAAAATTCGATAATAATTCAATGGGACCCACCAGAAAAGTCGTGGAAGCAGTTATCGTATCTGGTTACGTGGACGAAAAGCAACAAGAAGAGAGAAACAAATGATATGATAGTCAATACCGAAAAGGCTACAGTTGAGGGATTAAAACCGAACACCAAATACATCGTAGGTGTATCACCTCACATCAATGGAGTTTCTTCCGGAAAATCGGTAGAAGTTGACGTTTCTACAGCTGCATGTATGTATCATATACTTATAAAGTTTGGATTTCTTTTCTTTATAGCCGATATGTAGTGTAAATCGAAAATAAATACCAAAAAAATACTTTAGATGATGGTAAAATACAGAAAATTTAAGATAAAACGTATATAAGAACATAGGCAGTCCTTTGAATTATTCGTAAGATATTTAAACGTAAACAATGTTCGAAGATACAAACATCTTAAAAACGATTGGTTAAATCTCAGAATCTCTCTCAGGCTAACCATAACGGGAAAAAATTACAATTAAATATTACAAGGTCAGCCATGGGGTTGTCCAATATTTAATGAAATAGAAATGGAAAGATGTAAGCGAATCTCTACCAGTTTCGTATTTTAAAATCAACCAATGGCGTAAAGGTTTTTGAATTAAGTTTTATGCGATTGGTTGATTTACAATGACTGTTTTTTTTGCTTTTAATTACATCGACCAATTACGTAAAATCTTAGCTTAAAAAACCTTTATAAACATTTTAACTAAAAACTTTTACTCCACTATCACATTCATATTTATTTCTGATTTACTCTTAAAAAAATTAATTTAATATTAAATATTTACAGTAAATTTAGGAGAGGTTCAGGATTTGAAAGTGGTTAACGTCACGGAAACGTCATTAACCATCCGTTGGAACCCCCCGACAAGAACCTGGAATAATTTAGCATATTTAGTGACGTGGAGCGACAAAACAAGTTCTAGAAAGCGAAGAGAAACGAAAGAAAAGGTCGTAACAAAAAACGAAGTGACTGTATCACCTCTAAAGTCCAACACCTCTTACAAAGTCGGTGTAACACCTTACGTCGACAACACAGCAGCTGGCAACACAAAAGAAATATCTGTAACTACAACGTCTCGTAAGTTGGCATTTTAAAACATCGTTTAACACGAGAATTTTCTGAAAGATATATATACTGTATATACACTCGCAGCTTTGTATAACGGCCTTAAATAGTAACTTGTCAATAGACTAATCGATTAATCTGAAGAATGCAAAAGGTCCAGGCCCGTGTTTAAATTGATTTATGTATTTGCGTGTAATGTTTATAAATTTATCAATCAAATAACGATTAAAGTCAAAATTCTTTTAAAGAGGGGGAAAACTATAATTTACGTAAAATTACAGTATTTTCTCCCCCTTTAAAGAGATTATAAATTGATTGATCTTGAAGAAAAGCCTAATTTAAATCAAACTGTAGATCTTTTAAAAGAAGATTATAATGAAATCTTTCAGAATAAACAGTTTTTAGTTATTTAAATGGCTTGTAATTGTGTTAAAGATCATTATTTTCTTAATTTTTCAACACGAAATTAAGCTGGAATTTTAAATTAGAAAAGAAATTTACTTTGTTTCGTTCCATTACTTTAAAGCCATTCTATAATATTCTACATTCAGTTAATGCTGTTTTGATAAGTATTTATATCTCTTATCTTAAAATTCCAGATGTTTATTTTGTATATTTCGTTACGATTTTTGTTTCTTTTGTATATTTTTTTTAGCTAATTTTAACTTTATTCTTTCATTTCCATATTATTTTTTTATAAGTAGCAGAAACACGTGGATGAAATAGGCATTTTAATCGTTTTAATTTCATCCAAGTGCTTTTGTTATATTTTTAAATGTGAATTTCGTGTGCATTTCGGTAATAAAAATGTGGAAAAACGATTCTCTTTCTCACGAAATAGAAAATCTTATAACAGATGGCGCCACACGCAATTTTAAATTTTTTTGCCGGGAAAGTTACGCAACTCGTTG